TGACTTGAAAGCATTCGAGTTCTTTATGCTCATAGTTGGCTCATTTCAAGTAATCGCAAGGTCCTATAGCGGTCTGCTTTGACACAGGGAATGTGTCCTTGATCCAAGTCTCAGATCAAAGGGGACTGTGCCTGTCAAAAGAGAAAAAAAAAGTGTTACGGAGGGGCCAGCGCTGTGGTGCAGAGGACTAACACCCTAGCGTGAGTCACTGGCAAGAAGTATGGGCACCAGTTGGACTCCCCCCCGAGGGACCCCCCTGGGCACGCCCCCTTCAGCCCCCCCCCCCCCAGGACTGACTCTGCGTCGTGGGTGTGCACGTGACCGGCTTGTTAGAAAAGCTTCGGGAGCGCAGATGGTGCGTGGAGGAGAACAGTAGAGGCGGGTGCTGCTTGCGGGCCGGGGGGGCGGTGGGGGGGGCGGCCGTGAAAATAGACGCAGGCTCTGCCCAGGGCCTCCCTGCGGCCGGCAGGACCGGCTCAGAGCTGCTCCGGCAGACCGAGTGCCAGGGGAGGGGCGGCCTCTGTGAGCGGTGGCTGCAGACGATGAGGCTCCTGTGCCGGGTGTCGGGGGTGCACGGCCCCGCAGTGGATGGGGGTGGGGCGCCGCCGTAGGTTGTCCAGGGCCATCCCGACACCGGAGCTGCATCTGGTTCCAAGCCTCGGTCAGTGCCGTATTCAGTCAGTGCTAACACGGATGGTGCCGTCAGGACGGAAAATCACGTCTCCCTCGGCGCTCCCAGTTCTCAGCTGGAGGAAGGGAACAGCAGAGGGCCCACGGACGTGCGTTTCCCACACGGACGTCGCCGGGCGTGGGCAGTCACCATGCAGGTGCTTCCGACCCTGGAGGGCACAGCTGCCTCCACACAGGACAGAGACTGTCTAGAGTGGAGACAAGCACAGGAGAGGGCCTCAGGGTGGCCACTGAGGGAGGGCGAGGCTGGAGGCGCAGCTCAGCCACGCGGGGGGTGGAGCGTGTGCGGTTCTGTGCTCACGTGAGCCCTCTGAGTGTGGATCTAGGACCTGATTCGGGGCAGACAGTGCGAGTAGAGGCCCTGCGTCTGTCTCTCGCCCGTCTTCAGCTCCACAGGCCTCGTGCCAAGGGCGCGTCCTGGGGGTAGGGAGCGGCCATTCTGCTCTCCAGAGCAGTGAGCCTGTCGGGGACGGAAAGCCCGGTGCGGTCACGCGGCCTCTCTCACGGGTGACTTCCGCTCCGACTCTCCTTGGCCCTGGGAGGCGGGCGGGCGCTCACTGCCACCGCACAGGCTCAGGAAGCAGAAGTGCAGGGCTGAGCGGCTTCTCAGGTCTCCCAGCCAATGAGCTGCGGAAATGAGCATTCAGTTCACACGGCACACTCAAGGGCATCTCACAAAGGCTGTAGAGGGCCGGCGCTGTGCTGTAGCACGTAACGCCACCGCCTGCAGTGCTGGCATCCCATGTGGGTGCCGGTTCAAGTCCTGGCTGCTCCACTTCTGATCCAGCTCTCTGCTGTGGCCTGGGAAAACAGTAGAAGATGGCGCAAGTCCTTGGACCCCTGTACCCACGTGGGAAACCTGGAAGAAGCTCCTGGCTCCTGGCTTCAGATCAGCCCAGCTCTGGCCATTGTGTCCATTTGGGGAGTGAACCAGTGGATGGAAGACCTCTCTCTCTCTCTCTCTCTGCCTCTCTGTAACTCTGCCTTTCAAAAAAATAAACAAACAAATCTTGAAGGAAAAACAATTTGTGGAAAATGGAACTCAAAGGTAAACTTACTTTGGGATGAGAAGCCTTGGACGCCTTGCAGCATTGTTTGATGGTACACATTTCCCGCGAGCTTCCGGAGCCTGGGAGCCCCTGTTCTGCACAGCCTGGTGGACACGCAGGCTCCTGGCTCTCGTCCTGAAGGAGCGAGGACCCAGCTCTCCTGGTTCAGCACTGAACCTGCGTTCCCATGAGCACTTGTGCTGCCTCCACTGTCACCATCCGTGCGTCAGGATCTCCCAGTGCTGAACTTCGTCATCCTGGCCACATTGAGACTCCCCTGTCTGGGCTAGCGCGGTGATGCAGGGCTTAGCCGCCACCTGCAGCCGCGGCATCCCCTCTCAAGGGCTGGTCCAGTCCCGGCTGCTCCGCTTCTGATCCAGCTCCCTGCTGCTGCACCTGAGAAGGCCGGAGTCGGCCTCTGCACCCACATGGGAGACCTGGATGGAGTTCCTGGCTCCTGGCTTTGGACACGCCCCGCCCTGGCCATTGTAGCCAACTGGGGAGTGAGCCAGGAGATCCATCTCGGTCTGCCTCTCTGCCTCTCAAATAAATACAGTCTAAAAAGTAAATACACAAGAAGGCTCTCCTGCCCGAGCAGTTCCTCAAACAAGTGAACAGGACGACTGTGGCTCCGCGGTTCTGCTTCCGGGCAAGGACCCAGCATGGTCACGGCAGCTTGGATCACAGCAGCCACCGAGTGGGAGCGGCCCAAACGTCCGTGCGGGCAGGATGGCACACGGCGACACGAGGTGGACGTCCACACGGGAGCCCTGGCGGCCTTGGGGTGGGGGGGCTCTGGCACCAGCTCCACGGAGGAGCTGAGCACATTCTGCTGTGTGACGAAAGCCAGGCGCGTGGGACGGTGCCTGGTGACTCTCTCACGTGAGGTCCCTGGCGGGATCCAGGTGACAGTGGCAGAACGCTGGACTCTGGGTGCTGGGGCGCTGTGAAGGGGAGCGGGGGCGGAACGGGGGCGGCTTCAGGTCGGGAAGACAGTGAGGTGCTATGGGTGGCCACAGTGGTGGCCACACAGCGCCGTGCATGGTCTTGGTGAGTTCTGCGTTCTACATATTTTACTGTGATAAAATGCTTCTGCCCTGTTAGTACCTCCTGGTCAGTCTATCGGTCACGGATCCAGCAAGCTCTGGGGGGAACTGACCATACCCTGTCGTAGGACCCAGCAGTGCTGTCCACTGTGTGCACACCTACCTACTTCTGGGCCCCTTGGGAAGACCTGCCGTGACCTTGAACTTGCGCAGTGAGGTGCTGACCTGTCGCCCGTGCTCACCCCCAGGTCCTGAAGCGGCAAGGCTATGATGCGGCGTGCGACGTCTGGAGTCTGGGGATCCTACTCTACACCATGCTGGCGGGGTATGCACAGCCCCGCGGGGTTCTGGGACCCAGGCGTGGCTCCCCCGACTCCTGCCCAGGCCTGGGGTGCACTCCCTCAACCCAGCTCAGGACCAAAGACAGGAAGCTCAGCCGTGCGTTCTCCCCAAACCCCGCTCACGGACCACAGCCTGAGTCTTTCACCAACGTTCTCTCCACGACTCGGCGCCACTCCCTTAGACGGTGGCGACATGGCTGCCCCCCGGAACTTCAGGGTCACGTGGCATCTGGGGAGGCGGCCATCCCACAAGCAGGGAGCCAGGGCCGGTCTGTTGGATGAGACATGAGCTGTGACAGCCAGAGGCCGCTCTGCCAGCTCCCCCCTCCCTGGGCCCTTCCCCCGAACCCTTCATGGTTCCTTCATAAATCTTTTATTTTATTTTTATTTATTTATTTTTTTTTTTGACAGGCAGAGTGGACAGTGAGAGAGAGAGACAGAGAGAAAGGTCTTCCTTTGCCGTTGGTTCACCCTCCAATGGCCGCCGCAGCCGGCGTGCTGTGGCCGGCGCACCACGCCGATCCGATGGCAGGAGCCAGGTACTTATCCTGGTCTCCCATGGGGTGCAGGGCCCAAGCACTTGGGCCATCCTCCACTGCACTCCCGGGCCACAGCAGAGGGCTGGCCTGGAAGAGGGGCAACCGGGACAGAATCCGGCGCCCCGACTGGGACTAGAACCCGGTGTGCCAGCACCGCAAGGCGGAGGATTAGCCTAGTGAGCCGCGGCGCTGGCCCCCTTCATGGTTCCTTCAAGCAAGGCGGGGCCAGGGTCCTAAGAGTCCCCGGTTCCTAACATTGTTAAGATTATCATAAACTTGAGCAGGGGCAAAAAATGAATAAGAGAAATGGACCCTCAGCCCCCCAGCCCTCCATCCCTGTTCTCTGTAGCAGGTGGACAAGAGGCTGACCCTAGGGCAGGTGAGCACACGGTGCTGCTGGGCCCTCGTTGAAGGGGCAGGGCTGGGCGTGGGGGCCTGCGTGGCCCAGGCAGGGTGTGCAGCGCCCCCTGCAACCTCACTGGGGTGACTCTGGGCTTCCTGCAGCATGCCCTCAGCCCCGTCTGCTCTCAGAATCCTGTGACCCCGTCTCTTGGAAAGGGTGCGTCCCCAGGCGCTGGCTTATGTTAGGGCCGATGGGATGAGCACGGACCACACATCAGGCGAACGGCAGGCCCTGTCCCTTGCATTTCATCTGTATCCACACACACGACCACCATGATCACCGCGAGTGTGTTCTTCTACCCATTTTGCAACTGAGGTGCAAATCTTAATTGTGAGAAAACCCAGAGTGAGTGGCAGATCCACCATGGGTCCCGCAGACTGCCAACGGCAGACTTCCCTCTAACCACACCACCACCGTGAGAGCCCATCCCTCCCTGCCACCAGGGCCAGCCGTGGGCTCCATGGCACTTCCCCCTCTTGCCTCGCTGACCGTAGCGCTGGCCAGGCACGGGGAGGGGCGCAGCCTTTGGCGGGAAGCGCAGCCTGCTGTGACCTGGCTCTCGGCACTGCAGGGAGACAAGAGCCGTCCTGCTCACGGGTGCAAGTGCTGCGTCGTGGACGTCACCGTGGGTGATGAGTGGACGCGCGCTGCCATGAGTCCTCTCCTCACACAGGTTCACCCCCTTTGCAAACGGACCGGAGGACACCCCCGAGGAGATCCTGGCTCGCATCGGCAGCGGGAAGTACGCCCTCTCTGGGGGCAACTGGGACTCCGTGTCTGAGGCGGCCAAGGTGAGCGCGTGCAGGACTAGGGACGCCCTCCAGCGCAGAGGTGCTCTGTGTGTGCACCTGTACTCCTAACGTCGCGGGCCATAAACGGCTCCCCTAAGCCTTTCAACGGAAAAGTCCTTTGCAAAAATGTCTTACAGCACGTTCTACTGCCTTAGCGTATCACTTGGGTTTGCCCGGAGAGGTGGAACCCCTGGGGGACGGAGGCAGAGACAGCAGGGCGGAGCGGAACTTTCCTTTAAGCCAAGTGGCTCCCGTGACTGTGGGGGCCGGAGCGTCTAAAGCGTGTAGGGAGGTCCCCAGCCCGAGACGCAGGCAAGGGCTGCCGCTGCTGTCGGGGGAGCCCGGTCTTTGGTTAGACCTCCGCGGGCCGCTGGAGGCCGGCACACGCTGGGGAACCCAAAGATTCCACTGTCAGTCACTTCTACAGAACGCCTCCCAGCTACAGCTGCGTGGATATCTGGCCACGGCCCAAACATGCCACATGCAAGGCCTGCCCCACCCCTTCGGTGACGCTGCCCCGTGGCTGCCCCGGGGGTCCACAGCTGTGCGGGGGCGGCCGTGTTGCAGTCACTTCCTCCCTAGCGCAGGTGGTGGGAAGACCACAGGAAGCACGGGCCCCTGGGGGGACCACTGCGCCCCCTGCTGGGTCTTCCCCGAGTGCTTACTCAGCATCAGCTCCCGCCTCTTGGTGCGCACTGTCTGCCGTGCTGGCCTTGGGGACGGCTGGGACGACCGTGGAACACGGGAATCTCTGTTTAACCCAGTTTTCGTGTGTCATGGTCATTACTCTGCAATCAGGCAGGGAACCCAGCTGACGGGGGTGAGCCCGCAGACACAGAGGCGTGTGCGGGCTGCAGGACGTGGCGCCCGTGGTGGGGGAGCGGGCTCTGAATGCTCCTAGGGCGGTGCGGCCGTGAAACGGCTTCTGTCTGTGGGGTCCTGAGGACGTCAGCTTCTCCGCTGGGGAGAGACATCGGTTCTCTCTGAAACAGCGTCTCAGGAAGTTACTTACGCCAGCTGCCTTTTCACACGCGATTTTCCTCTAGCCAGGTCGGCCGCGGCCTTGGCGATACTTAGGTCTGAGAGCCGTGCACCTGCTCACCTGCTGCAGGCTGGCGGCCGGCCCCAGTGTGCCCACACTCTCAGAGCGGCGCTTGGGCTTGGCGCAGGCAGGTGGGTAGCGCTCTGCCCAGCCCAGCGCCCCCTGACGGTCTCCCCCGCCTCCCCCGCAGGACGTCGTGTCCAAGATGCTCCACGTGGACCCTCAGCAGCGCCTGACGGCCGTGCAAGTGCTCAAGCACCCCTGGATTGTCAACAGGGAGTACCTGTCCCAGAGCCAGCTCAGCAGACAAGACGTGCACCTGGTGAAGGTACGGCGGAGCGGTGGGGGAGCCTCCCGGGGCGTGGGAAATGCAGGAGAGAGCCCGGGGCCTCGAGACAAGGAACGGTCCCAGGCACAGCTACCCCTGACGTTTCGCTTTTGTATTTCGTCCCACGCTGAGATCTTGAGTGAGCTACAGCCTCCGTGGAGGCCGAGGCGGGTGCCGTGGCCACCCCAGCCCAAGCTCCAAAGCCTTCCATTCCAGGCCAGGGGCCAGCAGCAGCCCTCGTGTGCGAGGTTCTCACGTACAGGGTAGCAGCCCAGTCTTCTGGGTAGGGTCCCCTCTGAGAAGTGCAGGCTGTCCCCCGCGCTGTCCATTCTGGATCCCTCCAAGGAGCTGGAGCCACTCCAGGGTCAGCCGGCCCTCCAAATCAGTCCAAGCTGCCTGGGGTGTGCTCAGGCCCAGGCGCTGGCCGAGTCTGGCCCCTGGCCCCCTTCCAGGACTGGGGGACTGCACCCTGGGGGCCACACACAGGCCTCAAACAGGAGCCACAGGCTCAGGGACCCTGTGGGGTCGGCATGGCCACGTGGCTTAGGGGGTCTGTTACGGGGCCCATGGTGTGGCAGGCACCACCCAGCCTCGTGCCCTCCCTACTCCGCCATCTGGAGGGAGGCCTCACTTCCCCGTCTGGAGGGAGGCCTCACTTCCCCGGGCTGCCTGAGGGGAAGCGGGGCTCCTCTGTGAAGCCCCGTGGCTCCAGCTCCTCACTCACCGTGTTCAGCCCCCGCCCTCCCCTTGGTCTTGCAGGGCGCGATGGCCGCCACCTACTCTGCACTGAACAGAGCTCCGCTGGCCCCGCGGCTGGAGCCGGTGCTGTCGTCCAGCCTGGCCCAGCGCCGGGGCATGAAGAGACTCACGTCCACGCGGTTGTAGCAGCCAGCCTGACGCCTGGCCACCGCCCATTGCACCTGCTGAGCGTCGGGTCCCGCACACAGCGCCTGGGGCGACCGCAAGTCCAGCCTGGAGGCAGCACCGGCCTCCGCCGCCCCTGTGCTTTCTTCCAGCCCTGGAGGGACCCAGGCGGAGACTCCGGGAAGCCTCGCTGTGCCAACCTTGCCACCTGCTCTCCTCCCTTAGTCCTGAGCAAAACCAAATGAACCCAGTCTCCTGGCGTCACCGCTGGGCCCGGGCTTCCCTCGGAGCCCCCCGGTCTTCTCCTCGAGCATGTCTGCATTCCCCAGGGAGCAGCTTGCCAGTGGGAAGCGGGAGTGTGGCGGGGCCCCTACACGGGCGTCCCAGCTTCTGTGGGAGAAGTGAGGCCAGCCCCGGGCGTCTCAGCTCCAGACCCTGGCTGCGGCCGGGTGGTCTCCGTTGCCTCCGGCTCTGACTTGGGCGAGAGGAGAGCCGGGCCAGGGATCAGGACAGAGCTTGCGTGTACGGGTGCTGGCTGCCCTGCAGAGGCGGGGCCACTGTGCTGAGGGCCCCTCGGTGGCCACGAGGTACCCAGAGGCTCCAGAGAGCTCAGACCCCTCCTCCCACCTGCCCACAGCCACGGCTGGCTGCACTCACCCCTGCTCGCCTTCAGGAAAACCGTGGCTGCCGCGACTCCTGCTCCACGGCCGGCCACAGACATGTGCCATGCCGAAGCCGAGCCAGTGTGCCGTGTCCGCCGCGTGGGTGTCTTCCCGTGGACGGGGTCCTGGCAGTGCTGTGCTGTGCCCGTTCCCGGAGGCTGGGGCCTGGCCTGGTTGGGCAGGGGGCGCTCTCCCCAGCCCCCGGGGACCTGCTCGCCCTCCCACCGAGCTGGGGTGGGGCGGCTCCTGTCCCTGGCGGCCGGGATTGCACTGAGAAGCCGCGTATTTATTTCCTGGGTTCTTGTCCCTCCAGCTCCACCACTGCAGTACCTCACTCAAAAAAAAAAAAAATTCCTTAGCTTGGTCTCACTGTCTCCAGACCTCAACCATGACTGTGTCTCCGAAGCTTTAGAGATTCCGCGAGGGGCTGCGCTCCCCTCAGACAACCAAAACCTTAGCGACTGGGAAGCTGACCCCACCGGGCCCGCCCCGGCCATTCTGGGCCTGGGGTCTCGGGTGGTTTGTTCTCGTATTAAAGGCCTGGGGGAAAGCGGATCGTCCTGAGCTCGCGAGCCCCTTTCCCGCCTGCTGCAGGAGTCTTCGGCCCCGGGCCCATCTGTGTGTGTGTTTCGGCTTCAGGCCGGCTGGCTCTTAGGGAGGGAGGGAGAGAGAAGCAGTGGAGTGAGTGGCCGGGCCCGGCTCCCTCCATGTGTGCTTGCACCTCTGCTGCCCCCACCCCCGCCCAAACGGCCTTACTTTCCGGACACCAAGCTCACAGAGGAACCCCGCATCCGGAATCCTGTCCCCTCCTGGGTCCGGCGGGCTTCGGAGGACGACTCTGGCACAGCCAGGCTGGGCGCAGACTGTCAGATACCTCTCACCCCTGCCGCCACCCGGAACAGGTCAGCTGGCGTCGGTCGGCAGAGTCACACTTCTGTCACGTTCAGAAGCCCTGTGCGAAGCGGCCTGTGGCGTGTGAGTGGTGGCAGCGCACGGTTTTCAGCCCGCGGGCCCTGCGCACCTGCACACGAGGGCCGTGCACGTGTGGCATTGTAGACACCCCCTCGCCAGCACCAAGCAGGACCGAGAGACCGCGGGGTCTGTGGGTTCCCTAACAGCGCCGCGTGGTCCCTGCACAGGCCACCCACTGCTGGAGAGAAAGCTGGCCCGGCCCCACCGTGGGAGAGCCCGCCCCCCGAGGAGGGCGTGGGGCAGGCTTGTGCGTGACGGTGGAATGTGCATGTGCTCGTGTCTGCGGTGGTGGCCGGGCCTCACATCAGCCAGAGCTGTGAGCCCAGAGCAGCACACCTGGCCTGCCTCCCCGAGCGTCATGTTACCCTCGCCTACCCCACAGCGCGAGTGTCGGCCGGGCTGGAAGCGTGGGGACCACAGCGGCTCTGGACCCCGCGTCTCCGCCCCCTGCCCCTGCCCAGCGCTCGCCGCGAGCTCCGCTGTCACGTCGCGGTGAAGACCGTCCTGTGTCCCACTCCCTACGTCATGTGTCGGGCGGGCGGCACTGTACAGATATTTATTATCCTTTCCAGACTTTCTGAATAGATTTTTTTGAATAAACTTGGGTTTTATGAAGTGTGGTGGGTGTTTTTTTTAGCGTAACAAGAACCTTTGGGTTTTCTATGTTGTAACCTGTAACGATGCACAGAGAAACCCTCACCCCGTGTCCCTCCCCTGTCCTGGGCTCCTGCCAGCCCCTGCCACTGCCATGGGGCCCCTCACAGGGAATGGGCAGCATCTCAGTCACAACGAACTGAGCCACGGGTCTGTGTGTGTGATTGCATGCGTTCATGTGTGTGTGTGATTGCATGCATGTGTAGAAGTGAGTGTGTCATGCATGTGAGACTGTATGCATGCATGTGCAGGTGTGTGAGTATGCATTGCGTGTGTGCGTGTGTGTGCATGCATGTGGAGGTGTGTATGCATCATGTGTATCTGTGTGGCTGTATGCATTCATGTGTATGTGTCTAGGCATCATGTGTGTATATGTGTGATTGCATGCATGTGGGGTGTATGGGTTTCCTCATCACTTGTATGTACAGGGGTGTGTGTGATGCACATGAGGTCTGAGTTCATGTGTGCAGGTGTCACGCAGCAGTGTGAGGGGGGTGGAGAGCAGGTGTGTGTTTCCACACAGTCCTGGGAGGAGCGTGGCTGTTTGTGGGTTCGGGGACACGGGCAGGAGACGACAGCTGTGTGCAGCAACTCATGCACCAAACACTGGCGTGCACGTGTCTGCTCCCCCAGCAGAGAGGGGCCTCTCCCGACATCCGCGGGGCTCGTGTGAGAATTCTCATGGGCGAATCTCAGGGCGAATAGCAAATGCCCAGGAAGCCCTGCCTCCTGCTACACCCAGCCAGCTCCCGGAGGGTGCCAGAGGCTGTAGAAAAGCAAGTTGGAAAACATAACTTCAGCGTCCCGTGTGCATCACTCCCTGTTGACCTAAAATGTAAAATCCGTCCTCAGGTTCTGCATCTCGGAGTCCTGGAAAGACTCACTAGGTAGAATCAGGTGTGCACGGGGCTGGCTGCCCTGGAGGCGTGGGGACAGGAAGTGTTCTCTCCCCGTTCCCGGCCTCTGGCAGGAGTGGACAGTGTGCGGCCCCGTCCGCGAGACCGTGTGGTGCAGCCCTGCCAAGCCCACCGCGGGCGGCACGCATCTCCGACACTTCTGTTGCAGCTGATTTTCAAGTTGGGCCAAGCTGAAGCCAGGGCCCAGGGCTCCAGCCAGGCGTCCCACAGGGGAGGCAGAACTGCAGTACTGGAGCCAAGACCCACTGCTTCCCGGGCACATTAGCAGGACCGGACCCGAGTGGAGGAGCTGCGGCTCGAACCAGCGCCCTAACTGTTAGCCTGATGTTTGTGTCACCCCCAAGGCCCACGGGTTGAAATCCTCAGGGCCAGGCGGCCGTGCCAGGAGGTTCAGAGGCGGTCAGGCCACGAAGGTGGCGCCCTCGTCAGGAAAGGAGGGGACTGCAGCTCTCTCTGCTGTGTGCAGGGAAGGGTGCGCCCTGGGACCAGGAAGAGGCAGCTTCCGGCCACCAGCACTGCGGGTCGTTTGGTGGGCCCTGGCGTTGCGCCCGCAGCCGGAACCGGCTCTGACACCCCGCACATCCTCGCGCTGCCCTGTGTGACCGCACAGGGACACAAGGAGGCGGCAGCCCCGAAAGCCGAAAGCACGCCCACCTCAGCATGTGCTGAGGCTGCATCTCACCCGTCGCTGCGAAACTGCAGGGTAGAACCTCGGCTGAGCTCAGGCACCAACACAGGAAACACCCACTGAGCTTTATTGCTGGCTCCCACGTCTGTCCTGGGAGCCCGAGAAAACTGCCGGCTAAACTCACCTGTCCCCCCACCCCACCCCCGCTCTGATGAGGGAGGCCGCGGTGAGCGTCTGGCTCAGAGACGTCGCAGCGTGCTGCTTCTCTTTCTTCCTTTCCTTTCTTCTCTCTTTTTAATATATTTATTTGAAAGTCAGAGAGACAGACAGACAGACAGAGAGAGAGGTCTTCCATCTGCTGGTTCACTCCCCAGATGGCCACAACGGCCGGTGCTGAGCCGATTCGAAACCAGGAGCCAGGGGCTTCTTCCAGGTCTCCCATGCAGGTGCAGGGGCCCAAGCACTTGGGCCATCTTCCACTGCTTTCCCAGGCCACAGCAGAGAGCTGGATCGGAAGTGGAGCAGCCAGGAGTCGAACTGGTGCCCATGTGGGATGCCGGCCCTGCAGGTGGCGGCTTTACCCGCGATGCCACAGCCCAGCCCCTGCAGTTGCCAGCGCACCTGGGCTGGGCGGGAAAGCGAGCAGTCCCCACGAAGCTGCTGCTTCGGCTTTCAGACGACGACGTGGTCAGCAACGACTGCGACTTCTCTCGCTTTCCCGTCTCCCTCTCCTCGGGGCAGGAAGGCACCCCTTCCCCGACCCCACTCCTCCCGGCGCCGCCCTGGTGCCGGATGCCTGGTGCAGCTGGGAACCTTGGGCCCAGCGGAAAGCGCAGAACCTATGGCCTCCACGCTGCCCCCTTCTGTGTCCCTTAGAACCGCAGGGCTGGACGGCAGAACAAGCAGCGTTTTCGTTTTTGATTTTTACTCCTAAGTAGCAGCTGAAAAGGTAAGCGCTCCATCTGAAGAAAAGATTAAAAAAAGAAAGAGACACCGGAATTCAGTTCTCCCGTGAGTTTAGAACACGTTTGTAAAGTCTGAAACTTCACTAACAACGAAAATTCCCACCTAGTTACAAAATGTTCCCACGGAAATCTGGAAAGCACTGGAAGAGATCCCAGATTGCGCAGACGTCAGTCTGAAGGAGTTCGATGTGAACGGCAGGGGAAGTTCAACAGTCAGCCCCCAAGACCGGCGACAGGACAATGACTGCTCCCACCGCAGCCGCCCACCCGGCCCCGCTTCTCACCATCCAGACCAAAGGAGGCCGGAGCTGGCTAAGTCTTCAGGATTGCTCCATGGCAGAGCTGGGCTCAAACCCCAAAACACTATGCTTCTCCCTCCTTCCCTCTCTCCCTCTCTCTCCCTCTCTCCCTCTCCCTTTCCCTCTCTCCCTCTCCCTCTCTCTCTCCCTCTCTCTCTCCCTCTCCCTCTCTCCCACTCCCTTCCTCTCTCTCCCTCTCCCTCTCTCTCTCCCTCTCCCTCTCTCCCTCTCTCTCCCTCTCCCTCTCTCCCTCTCTCCCTCTCCCTCTCTCCACCTCTCTCCCTCTCCCCCTCTCTCCCTCCCCCTCTCTCCCTCTCCCTCTCTCCCTCTCTCTCTCTCTCTCCCTCTCTCCCTCTCCCTCTCCCTCTATTTATTTTAAAGGCAGTTACAGAATGAGAGCAAGCGAGAATCTTCCATTCACTGATTCACTCCCCAAATGGCTACAATAGCCAGGGCTGGGCCAGGCTGAAGCCAGGAGCCAGGAGCTTCTTCCAGGTCTCCCACGTGGGTGCAGGGGCCCAAGCCCTTGGACCATCTTCTGCTGCTTTCCCAGGCGCATTAGCAGGGAGCTGGATTGGAAGTGCAGCAGCTGGGACTTGAACCTGCGCTCATGTGGGATGCCAGCCTTGCTCTCGGGCAGAGGCTTTCCCTACACGCCACAGGGCCGGACCCACAACGACGTTTTTCAAACCCCCGCCCCCTCAACACACACACACACACACACACACATCTCCCTGTTTCTTTGAGTCTCTGTTTCCAAAGGCTCCTGTGTCACATAAAACGTATATGAAGTGAACGCACATGCTTTTCTCGTGTTAACATCTTCAGTTCTGGGGACCCCAGCCTTGAACTTGGCAATGGAGGAGAGTCACACTGGACCCCCAAGGCAGCCCCGTCTTCCCAACACCTGGGATTGTGGTTTTTCAGGGCGAGCATTGTGGTACAACGGGGGTAACTCGCCACCTGCGACACCAGCAGCCCATATGAACCGGTTCAAGTCCTGGCTGCTCCACTTCTCATCCAGCTCCCTGTTAAAGTGCGTGGGAAGGCAGAGGAAGCATCCCCGGTGCCCCTGTGGGAGACCTGGAAGAAGCTCCAGGCTCCTGGCTTCAGCCTGGCCCAGCCCCAGCCACTGGGACTGTTTGGGGAGTGAACCAGCAGGTGGAAGATCTCGGTCTCTCCCTCTCTCTCTGTAACTCTGGCTCTCAAATACATAAATCTATTTTTTTTAAAAAGGATTATTGTTTTCTAAGAGGGGCGAGTCCTTTTATCCCTTGCTCGAAGGACAGGCAAAGTGAGGCAGTTTCCAAAGCAGTCGGTTTATTGCAAGGCGTCACACAAGCAGAATACGAAGAGGAAAGGAAATCCCCGCAGAGCAGAGGGCCAGAGAGGACGCAGCGCGGGAGCGCGCAGGTGGCCGGGCCCTGGCTGTCCCGGTGCCGCACAGGCTCGGCTGCTCCGCGGGGCCCCTGGGGGCGGAGCCACAGCGAGACGAGGGCACCGCACTCTGCCAGCGTCTAGATGTCAGCCCCGGGGGGGCGGCCCCAAACCCAAACTCCGCCGTGCATGTGGGCACACAGCTGTCAGTCAGGACGGAGGGCCGGCCCCTCGCCACCAGCAGGCCACTGGGCTCGGTGAGGGCTCCAGGCGGGGTCAGTGCTGGCAAGGCACCGTTGTCATCACCAGTGGGACGATGGCAGCACCGCCAAGCGCAGGGGAAAGACCCAGCTTTTCCCCCCGGCTGTCACCTGGGCCACTCCACTTCCGCGTTCTGATCGATGTCCCAGGAGCGTGGGTTACAGGAATTCTTTTGTTTCATTCTTTTAAGAGGGGATCTTCCATCCGCTGGTTCACTCCCCAAATGGCTGCAATGGCCAAGGCTGGGCCAGGCTGAAGCCAGGAGCCAGGAGCTCCACTGCGTCTCCCACGCGGGGACAGAGCCCCAGCCATCACCTGCTGCGTTCCCAGGCCATAGCAGGGAGCTGGATCGGACGTGGAGCAGCGGGGACCGCGCTCACATGGGATGCCGGCGCTGCAGGAAACATCTTAACCCCGTGGTGTGCCATGATGCCAGCCCCTCAGCCCAGACGCCGCCTCGATACAACTTTCCGCGAGTGCACTGCCCTCCCTCACCGGGTCTGCCACACCCCCG